TTTTTCTTCCTCGTCCTTGTTTGCCCATCTATATTTTGCTGTAGAGCTGATCTTTACAAGCAATTTTTTAAAAACCAGGACATTTTCATCACTTTATAAAAAACAGCCAGGACAGGACGTAAAAACAGGACATGTCCTGGGAAAACAGGACTGTTGGTCACCCTAATTAAGTGTATCTTTAATGAATTTGTTTAATCTAGTTTGATCCAAGAAAAACGAAATAGCCTATATATAAACTTTTTTATACAATCACTGACTGTCACTGTAGCAGGGGCGTAGAATTTAGTAGGGACGCTAGGGACGTGTCCCTACCAATATCCAGTGACACTGATATATCCCTAGCAAAATTTTCGATCAAAACTTTAAATATATTAAATATTGATGTCCCCGTCCCCACCAATTTCAAAATCAAACCTACGCCACTGCACTGTAGTATGATAAACTGTCATTGAGACTGTCTCAACCTGTGTTTCTAACGATTTATAAGAAGTGTCAAATAAAATACAAGATCAGCTTTTGGTATTTGAAAACGAAAGAATGTAATGTGATAATAGGCCTAACGAATTAACTGATCTAGGAATGTATGTATGCGTTTTGCCTGTTAATTGCCGCCAACCACTTTTCTCCGTTTTGTTTCTTTTGGGATACGGTATAAGATATTCCTTTTGTATGATCACGTATCTGATCGCATCCAAATGCACAGCATCGCTCGGGCATGATAGGAATATTTCGCGACGAGCTGTATTATCACCGGCGGTTTAGCATTTTCTATACCGTCAAGATGGCTGCTCCAAATGGCGTGACGTCACGCGGGACATCCCTATAACATGTGTAATGCTATTTAACTTCTGATTGGTCAAGTTTGCCACGCCCAGTATAATAACACACAAAACATGCACTACACATTAATACAAGAACACACATTTCACAGGTTCTAGATTACATTTAAAAGATCAGCCTACACTGGAAACATTTGCAGCAAGTGTAAAGGTGTGTTTGCGTTGAGTTCCCGCTGCAGTGGTGCACCAGTGTGGCCAGCAGAGGTCGCCAGCCTGCTGTGTTTCGAGGCTTCGTGTCTGCGGTGAACGAGCTGGAGAGTTCGGGCACGGCGATTGGCGCACGTGATCCGCGTGAACCGCTTTGAGGTTCCCATCTCCTCCTTCAATCAGAAGATCTGGCTGCGCTCGAGCCCCTGTGACGTAACAGCTAGCAGACTACGGTGCGCCGTTTGTGACCAAGAGCAGAACGCGCGAAGTGAGAGAATACGAGCGACATTTCAGGTAACGACATTCAAACATAACTTTTATTGACAACGCGAACCCATGTCTGATATTTAGAAGCATGATATATGGATGTTATCTCGGTTCCCGTCGCTTAGTAGCGTGTAATGTGAAGGATTTGTACGTCGCATTTGATGCGCTTTTGGGGCCTCCGTGCCGCCGTCGTTTTCAGTACTCACGCGAAGACCCGCCTTTCCCGTGTTCCCATTGGACGAGCGCAGGAAACTGACCTTCTGACTGGACGAAACTCACGCCAGTCAGCAACAGGCACGGTAACAGGAAGTAAAAATGAAACTGTTTCATGTCTGAGAGCAAATATAAACATAGCCTAAAGAACGAATTAAAGTTTAATATTACTGATTAACGCTTTTCCATCGTTTTCACGAAGCAAACTTTTTTTAGATAAGCAGAACACGTACATGTGAAACTCTTAATAACGACACTATTGCGCGCACGCGCTAGTCGTATAGCATAGTGAATGATAATAAATGCAGTTTTACAACAAGTTTCTGTTGTATTGTCAATATTTCATTATTTGGAGTGCTTATGTATGAAGAGGTTTATAGCTTAATATAAGATAAGCTATATTAAAGAGACTGGATTGGAATAACTTTCTGAACACATACAATATGAAAAAAGAGTTTACACTTTAAAGTTGTTCTGCTTTATATGTTTAGAATGTGTATATCTGTATGTACACCGCCTGTCAGATGATGAAGATTAAAAGCAGTGTTCAAGCAGCTTCAGTTCAGTGATGATTGTGTTTTACAGTCATTTAAAAGATCAACAGTTCAACTGGGTAATATGAGGTGCTCATTTATGTGTTGTGTAATTATTTATAGGGGTGTAACCATATATCGTGTCACAATATATCACAATACAAAAATTCATCAATATGTATCGTGGATAGTGACTATGTATTGTGTATAGTTCACCCAAAATGAAAATTAGTTGTGAGATTTTTTCATGAGTTTTAGTGTCAGTACTACATTAAACTACTATAATGTTGAATATAATGTATAATAATGGAATGGGGGAATATGTATGGCTCATGTCAAATGTATTGCTACCAATAAAAAGTGGCCTTTATTATTTTAAATATATCCAGTCAGTGACAGAGATCAAGCATATTCGTCTAAAATAATTCTGTATTTTCAGCTTCAGAATCATGAATATTGTTATTCTGGTGTCTCTATTCTCCTGCTACTGTGGCCGAGAGAGCTCAATGTGCTGCAACTGAAAAAAAAACACATGCAAATAGAACCCCCCCCCCCCCCCCCCCCACACAACACAACCAAATACAGAAATGCGCTGCAAATAACACAGACCACAACCAAATAAGTGACGAACCTGGCTGGGACGCGCTTACAGCTTAAAATTGTGAGTATTTGGAGCACACGTGTGTTGTGAAACTGATGAAGATGTTTTCCTAATTTGCATGTGTTTTCTTAATTGCATGTTTTTTTTCTATTTGCATGTGTTTTCTTCAGTTGCGGCGCGTTGAGCTCTCGGCCACCGTGTCCTGCTTTGGGTTTCAGCACCAACTCCAGCCTATTCATTTACACACAATGTAAAACCAAATTTAGCATTTTAATCAAAAGTAAATTTTTTGTTAACCTTTTATAATTTATCTTGGACTATTGCAATAAAATCGTATTGTGAGTTCAGTATCATGACATTATTATTTATATTTATGATATTATTTTGATTAAATACCAAAAGTACCCTCTGATTGAATCAAAATAATACCATATATATATAATAAATAGTAAATAACTCAGTTTACCAGGACAGTAGAAGCTGCATGATTGTGGCAGTGACCTTTGTAGAGGTCGACATTGTCTTTTTCATCACAACTGGTACTATTGTTCATCAGAGGACAGTATTACGCCTGATTCACTGTGTCACGGCACCAATAACAGTCAAATATCACAGCAACAACTGTTGCAACTGTTTTGTTTTAATATCTAGCTATAGTTTAACTATTTGAAAATAAAATTGTTTCAAATATTGTTTAGTTAAGTAAGCATTCCATTTAAAAAATCAAATGAAAAGTTAGTAATCAATTCAGGTATTAACTAAGCAGCCAAAAGCCGCAAGGAACCAAAACTCCATCAGGGACAGAATGGAGAAAAAAACGATCAAGTTGTGTTATTAATAAGAGGCTCCAGCTTAAAAGTTTTAGTAATAAATAAAAAACAAAGAAACGCATTGCAGTAACAGAACAAGTTGCAGAACAAACATCATTTCAGATTCAATCCAGCATGAAACGATTGATTCTTGCTTCTTAACGCTCATTGATGTTCATGAATCACCACGACACACTTCGTCAAACGGCTCGTGCAGAAATCAGGCTGATATTGTGGAGTCTGAACCGGCCATAAGATTAAGACAACTTGTGTCGGCCTTTATATATTAGTATCGTTACACCTGTACCCCTATATATATATTTCAACTTGTACAAAAACAATATTAATCAGTGTAATAATTTACAAGGATTATTATCATTATTTTATTTACATACATATTAACAATTTTCACCGCACTGTTTTCACAGAAAGGTCCATGGATCCCTCACATGGAGCCTAGTGATTCTTGCATGTGAACCGACAGCAACATGGACAATCCCAAACGCAAGTTAAGATCTGGAAAGGAGGTTTTGAAGGACAAGGGCCAATCTAAGGAAAAGCCCAATGATACGGGCTCAGGAGATGCTTCATCAGCACATAAAGCGTCTGAGGATTCTGGACATGCTGTAGAGGAAAGTGAGCGTGAGGACCGGTCTGAAGAACATGGCTCTCCACAAACATCCGAGGCTTTGGTTTGTTCACTTTGCAACTTTGTTGCAAAAACTCAAACTGCACTGAAAATTCACTCGACGAGGAAACACTCTCATAAAGGAGGCGTACCGAACGACACAGGGTTGAGTTCTTCGCAAAACACACCCCGGGTACAAGAAAGTGATGCTTGTGCACCTCTGTCAGAGGAGGACACACAGACCGAGAGCGAACACACACACAAGGCTGACGGAAGAGCCAGTCCCACTCAGATCCTGCTGGAAATAGTTGAGCCCATCTCATGTGGATCAGTGAAGGACGAGGAAGACACAAACCAGACCTGTACAGATGGCCCGGATACACAAGCAGGCTGCAGTTTGGATTCGGACACTAAAGTGAAAAGCAATAAAAATGGTGGAATTGATGGACATTCAAAGCCTAATACTTGTGTAGAGGAATTCACAGATGCACACAGTGCAGAAAAGCATATTAAAAGGCAACGTAACAGCAAGTCGGATCATGAGAAGCACAAACGGAAGATGTTGGAGAACCAGGATTCATTAGAGACAGAGAAGACTGAAGGCCGGTCACAGACACAGGAATCTCGGACTGAAGGCCGGTCACACCATCAGTGCGGCCGATGCGACTTCACAGCCAACAGCTCCGTCATGTTAGCGCAGCACATTAAGACGGCCCACCCGCCGGAGCACCGCTTCCACTGCCGGCTCTGCCATTACTACACCAGCACCACTGAGGCCATGCAGAGCCACCTGTGCGAGGAAGCCCACCTGCAGCTGGCCGACCAGAACCACACCAGCGCTCTGTTCGAAGACTGTGTGGAGAAGATCCTGGTGATCCTGTCCGATCAAAGAGAGCCTGAAGATCAGGAGGAGGAACAGCTGAGGAAAGACTCTCCTCACAAACGCAAGCGCGGTAGACCGAAGACGTCCAGCGAGACCGTCTGTAGACACTGTGGACTCGTCGCGTCCAACGCCACCAACCTCAGCGTCCACATCCGCCGCAGGCACAGCCGGCTCTACAGCTTCGTCTGCAAGCTCTGCAGCTACTACTGCGTTACCAAAGGAGACATGGACCGCCACTGCGAGACCAAGAAGCACCTCAACAAGATGCAAGCCGCCGGAGGAGACGACAGCGGTGTAGTTCTGCTGGACTCCGAGCAGCCTGCTCAAGCTAAGACAACAGAGCTAGCACACACAGTAGCAGAGATCGAGATGACGATTGAGGACGATGACGTGGATGAGGCCAGTGTGCCGCGCAAGAGAAGCAAGCCTGATCTGGGTAACGTCTGTGCTCAGTGTGGCTTCCCCGCTCACTCCGCAACGTCTCTTGCTCTCCACGTGCGACGCAAGCACACCAAAGACTTCGAGTTCGTGTGTCTGGCGTGCAGCTACTACACCGTGACACGCAGAGAGATGTTCAGGCACATGGCCACTGAGAAACACAAGCAGAAGCGAGAGAGTTACCTGAAGAGACCGAAGCGAAGCTCCAAGCCAGAGACTGTCGGCGGATCGGAGGAGGACACGACTGAAGATGCAGAGCCTTCGATAGAGACGCCTGAGGATCAGGATGGAGAAAAACAATCTGCTGTGAAGAATACGGCCAAAGACAAGGAAGAATACCCAACTGATCCAACGGAAGAATCCCCAACTAATCCAATGGAAGAATCCCCAACTGATCCAATGGAAGAATCCCCAACTGATCCAACGGAAGAATCCCCAATTAATCCAACGGTAGAATCCCCAACTGATCCAACGGAAGAATCCCCAATTAATCCAACGGTAGAATCCCCAACTAATCCAATGGAAGAATCCCCAACTGATCCAATGGAAGAATCCCCAACTGATCCAACGGAAGAATCCCCAATTAATCCAACGGAAGAATCCCCAACTGACCCAACGGAAGAATCCCCAACTGACCCAACGGAAGAATCCCCAACTGACCCAACGGAAGAATCCCCAACTGACCCAACGGAAGAATCCCCAACTAATCCAATGGAGGAATCCCCAACTGATCCAACGGAAGAATCCCCAACTGACCCAACGGAAGAATCCCCAACTAATCCAATGGAGGAATCCCCAACTGATCCAACGGTAGAATCCCCAACTGATCCAACGGAAGAATCCCCAATTAATCCAACGGAAGAATCCCCAACTGACCCAACGGAAGAATCCCCAACTGACCCAACGGAAGAATCCCCAACTGACCCAACGGTAGAATCCCCAACTGACCCAACGGAAGAATCCCCAACTGACCCAACGGAAGAATCCCCAACTGACCCAACGGAAGAATCCCCAACTAATCCAACGGAAGAATCCCCAATTGATCCAACGAAATCAAACGAGACCCAGTCAAAGACGATTGAGAAAGACTCAATGCTGGAGGATATGGATGAGGAAAACATGTTTTATGAGGATGAAACTGCAGACTTAGGAGATGACAGTGAGAAACACCTTAGAGGAGCACAGTTTGACGCTTGCATTTTCCCTTTAAAAACACTAACAGAGCACAAGATCCCACATGACGGAAAACAAACGACAGGCGCTTCCGTGAGGAAGCCGAAAACTCCCGAGACGAAGCCGGCCAAACCGACTCCCCGCATCCGCTGTGAGGACTGTGGGTTTCTAGCCGATGGCTTGAGCGGCCTGAACGTCCACATCTCCATGAAGCATCCGTCCAAGGAGAAGCACTTCCACTGCCTGCTGTGTGGGAAGTCGTTCTACAGCGAGAGTAACCTGCAGCAGCACCTGAGCAGCGCGGCTCACCTGCGCAACGAGCACGGCAGCGTGGAGGACCTGCCCGACGGGGGCGCCAGCTTCAGGTGTGTGCGCTGCAGCGAGCCCTGCCACACCGAGCAGGACCTGTTCCTGCACATCAAGGAGAAGCACGAGGAGCTGCTCAGGGAGGTCAACAAGTATGTGGTGGAGGACACGGAGCAGATCAACCGGGAGCGGCAGGAGAACCAGGGCAGCGTCTGCAAGTACTGCGGGAAAGTGTGCAAGAGCAGCAACTCCATGGCCTTCCTTGCCCACATCCGCACTCACACAGGTACGTCTCCCGCCGTCTGATCAAAACATTTACTTGCAACAGATTACATTTAATTACCTACAGGGTTCGTACAAGCTGGAGAACGCCAGTCAGTCTCTCTTTACTCGCTCCGCTGAATCGCTCAAACATGTCCGCCTCAGATCTCACACTCCAAAAAAGCAATTTATAATTATTTAAATACTTATACTACTGGCTGATGAATGCTTGATTCTGATTGGTTGACGAACATTCTAAGGTGTGCAAGTAGTTTTTTTCCAGTAAGTACTTCTTGACTGCTTTACAGTTCCATATGTGCAGTGGCTCAGTGGTTTATGTAGGTTGTCTACAAACCCGAAGGTTGGTGGTTCAATCCCCGGTTCCACCTGACCAAGTGTCGAGGTGTCCATGAGCAAGACACCTAACCCCAGCTGCTGTTGTCACCGCCGTCGGTGTATGAATGAGTGAATGTGAGGCAATATGTAAAGCGCTTTGGTGGCAATTGGGTCTGTGAAAGCACTATATAAATGCAGTCCATATAACTGTTAATTATTAGTGCTGAATCATTGTATTCTGGTCATTTTTACAGCAATATAGTAAAGAGACTCGTTGAGAATAATGGAAAGCTAGTTAGCTTTCTAGTTTGAAAGAGGAAAGCGATTTCTTTGTCAGAACTGCATTTCTACAGTTTCTACAGACTACAAAAAATATGTAAAAAAACAAAGTAAAATAAAAAATGTCCGTTTGCATCTTGCATCTTGGAGCGTGAGTCTCGTGAGGCGGAGCCGTGGCATGAAGGTCCCGCCCACCCTCCTACTCCCGCAGACTCATTCGCAGACACAGCTGTCAATCATGACCCGTCTTTAGAGCATCACACAACTAACTAAAACCGAACAATAGAACATACATCAGCCTGATAAGAACTACCTCAAATGACAGAAACCACCTTTGGGAAAAAATTTATTTAAGGTGTCATTGGATTTTCTAGTTTGGCTCGCGTCCCATTCGATGACACAGGGTTTATAAACAAAGGCATGACAAAGGGTCTAAATGTTTTGGCTTCACTTTTCCGGGCATGTGCAGCACACCTGGTGCTGACCATAGACTGTATTACAATGGGCGTAGTGTCCGTGACGTCCCCCCTGAAGAGCGTTTTTTGAACCCCAAAGTGGGCGGAGCCAGCCGTCGCCATCTTGGCAGCGTCACTCCAGGATAAACGAACATGTGGAGTGAGGCGGATTAGCTGAGGTGACGTGACAGCAGACAAACGGCTAGTGGTGACATCAGCGCCAATCCACCTGTCACTCAAGTGGCCACGCCCTTAATTATGCAGAACTTTGAGGCTTAAAATAATTTAAACGGAAGAGTTATAAGAAAATAGTTATATTTACCAAAACCTTTTTGTACCAGGCTGTAAACATGTTTTGTTCTGCTGTAAAGTTGGGCATTTTAACATGCGGGTCTATGGGACTGAGTCTCTCCTGCAGCCGGCCTCTAGTGGCCAGTGGAGGAACTGCAGTGTTGGATTCAGGAGAGAGACCCATACATTAGGGTCCAGCGAGAGCATGCCATTTAATAACATCAGTATAAAACAGCATTCTGTGGCAGAATATTGGTTTAATGTGAGTTTAAACAATTATTTGTGAATATGGTGAAGAAAATTCAGTGTCTTTTATCTTTCTCTACAGGATCCAAACCGTTCATGTGCAAGATCTGTAACTTTGCCACCGCTCAGCTCGGAGACGCACGCAACCACGTCAAGAGACACCTGGGCATGAGAGAGTACAAGTGCCACATCTGTGGGTGAGTGTGTGTGTGTGTGTGTGTGTGTGTTTGGAGTACAGGTGTCACATCTGTGGGTGAGTGTGTGTGTGTGTGTGTGTGTGTGTGTGTGTGTGTGTGTGTGTGTGTGTGTGTGTGTGTTTGGAGTACAGGTGTCACATCTGTGGGTGAGTGTGTGTGTGTGTGTGTGTGTGTGTGTGTGTGTGTGTTTGGAGTACAGGTGTCACATCTGTGGGTGAGTGTGTGTGTGTGTGTGTGTGTGTGTGTTTGGAGTACAGGTGTCACATCTGTGGGTGAGTGTGTGTGTGTGTGTGTGTGTGTGTGTGGGAGTGTGACATCTGTGGGTGAGTTCAGGAAACTCATTTTCTTTACATTTATCTCAGCTGAATGAATGCTTAATGTATTTGTGTTTGTACAATACATGTTTAAAGCAGTTTTACAAAGAAGAGTAAACCTTAAAACCTACACATCAAATCTCATAAGACCATTAAACTCCAAACACGTTATTTTCCCTGGCTATCTAAATAAGATCATATACACTCACCTAAAGGATTATTAGGAACACCTGTTCAATTTCTCATTAATGCAATTATCTAATCAACCAATCACATGGCAGTTGCTTCAATGCATTTAGGGGTGTGGTCCTGGTCAAGACAATCTCCTGAACTCCAAACTGAATGTCAGAATGGGAAAGAAAGGTGATTTAAGCAATTTTGAGCGTGGCATGGTTGTTGGTGCCAGACGGGCCGGTCTGAGTATTTCACAATCTGCTCAGTTACTGGGATTTTCACGCACAACCATTTCTAGGGTTTACAAAGAATGGTGTGAAAAGGGAAAAACATCCAGTATGCGGCAGTCCTGTGGGCGGAAATGCCTTGTTGATGCCAGAGGTCAGAGGAGAATGGGCCGACTGAGTCGAGCTGATAGAAGAGCAACTTTGACTGAAATAACCACTCGTTACAACCGAGGTATGCAGCAAAGCATTTGTGAAGCCACAACACACACAACCTTGAGGCGGATGGGCTACAACAGCAGAAGACCCCACCGGGTACCACTCATCTCCACTACAAATAGGAAAAAGAGGCGACAATTTGCAAGAGCTCACCAAAATTGGACAGTTGAAGACTGGAAAAATGTTGCCTGGTCTGATGAGTCTCGGTTTCTGTTGAGACATTCAGACGGTAGAGTCAGAATTTGGCGTAAACAGAATGAGAACATGGATCCATCATGCCTTGTTACCACTGTGCAGGCTGGTGGTGGTGGTGTAATGGTGTGGGGGATGTTTTCTTGGCACACTTTAGGCCCCTTAGTGCCAATTGGGCATCGTTTAAATGCCACGGCCTACCTGAGCATTGTTTCTGACCATGTCCATCCCTTTATGGCCACCATGTACCCATCCTCTGATGGCTACTTCCAGCAGGATAATGCACCATGTCACAAAGCTCGAATCATTTCAAACTGGTTTCTTGAACATGACAATGAGTTCACTGTACTAAAATGGCCCCCACAGTCACCAGATCTCAACCCAATAGAGCATCTTTGGGATGTGGTGGAACGGGAGCTTCGTGCCCTGGATGTGCATCCCACAAATCTCCATCGACTGCAAGATGCTATCCTATCAATATGGGCCAACATTTCTAAAGAATGCTTTCAGCACCTTGTTGAATCAATGCCACGTAGAATTAAGGCAGTTCTGAAGGCGAAAGGGGGTCAAACACAGTATTAGTATGATGTTCCTAATAATCCTTTAGGTGAGTGTATATATAAGTATAACATGTGTGTGTTGATGGCTATGAATGGTATTATGTAGGACATTTCTTACTGTTGTATCAAAAGCAGCTTGTAATTGCACACAGATGCTGTATTAAACTACTTCAGATGTCAGAACAGAGCAAACGTTGCAGTCAGTGAGTGTGTGAGTCAGTGTGAGAGTGTGAGAGTGTGAGAGTGTGTGAGTCAGTGTGAGAGTGTGTGAGTCAGTGTGTGAGTGTGAGAGTGTGTGAGTCAGTGTGAGAGTGTGTGAGTCAGTGTGTGAGTGTGAGAGTGTGTGAGTTAGTGTGAGAGAGTGTGAGTCAGTGTGAGAGTGTGTGAGTCAGTGTGTGAGTGTGAGAGTGTGTGAGTTAGTGTGTGAGTGTGTGAGTCAGTGTGAGAGTGTGTGAGTCAGTGTGAGAGTGTGTGAGTCAGTGTGAGAGTGTGTGAGTCAGTGTGTGAGTGTGAGAGTGTGTGAGTTAGTGTGTGAGTGTGTGAGTCAGTGTGTGAGTGTGAGAGTGTGTGAGTTAGTGTGAGAGTGTGAGAGTTAGTGTGAGAGTGTGAGAGTTAGTGTGAGAGTGTGTGAGTTAGTGTGAGAGTGTGTGAGTGTGAGAGTGTGTGAGTCAGTGTGTGAGTTTAGTGTCTGCTGTTGTTACAGATGGGCCTTTGTGATGAAGAAGCACCTGAACACTCATCTACTGGGAAAGCATGGACTGGGTCAACCTAAAGAGAGGTTCTGAACACACTCTCTCTCTCTCACACACACACACACACACACACACACACACACACACACACACACACACACACACACACACACACACACACACACACACACACACACAGATAGACCCACAACATTCATAGGGTTGTGAGCATCCATAGATTCTTTCACAATAGGCTATTTTGATCATGTTTTCCATTCACATTACATAACTGTGACATTACTTTGCAAAGACAATTTCTAACATGCCGGTGCCGGTGCGGTGAGACGTAGCCTACATGCTCGGGCAGATTCGTGCCGGTCCAGTGATTCGTGCCGGATTCAAAATGCCGGTGCGGTGAGACGTACGGCTCGGGCAGATTCGGCTTGAAGTCGGTCATCCTCGGACGCGCCGCCGCGCGCGCTGTTACAAAAAAAGCCGTGCACACAGCCAAGCCAAATGGGGTCTTGCCGGTCTTGCGCACCGAACGCGTCATTTTTGCCGCGCTCACCTTCGCGCTCGTGCGGACGCGTCGAGTATAAACAAGGCTTTACTCCGTGTCAGCGCGCGCTCTGATCGGTAAAGTACAGACAGACCTCTCCCGAATCATCTCCAGCAGTAGCAGCCTCCGTTTCCCTCTTAAGCTGATATTAGTATTTAAACATTCTCTATGATAAAAAATGTTTGTAAAAAATATTTTAATAGCACGGTTTTGGCGGTTATAGAGTTCTAATGACGGTGTTCAACTATAACCGTCGGTCTCACGGTTATATAATAACAGTCACACCCCTATGAGGAATATTGTGACGTGTTCGTTCCCGGAAGAAACTCGAGACTACAGTGGAGGCGTTTCAGGAGTTCAGAAACACTGACACTGATATAGAGGACAACTGGAGCTTTCTCATGATCACACACACTGAACACAGATGGGAACATCAGAAGAGCTGCTCTTTAAGTGTGTGAGTTAGAGCTGTGTCAGATGTAGAGGCTCATCGGTCATGTGTTCTGTTCTCTAGAAAGTTTGAGTGTGATCTGTGTGAGCGCAACTTCAGTGAGAAATGGGCTCTGAATAACCATATGAAGCTGCACACCGGAGACAAACCCTTCAAGTGCGGCTGGCCCTCGTGCCACTACGCCTTCCTCACCCTCTCTGCCATGAAGGACCATCACCGGACACACACAGGTACACACACACACACACACTCACACACTCGTGCCACTACGCCTTCCTCACCCTCTCTGCCATGAAGGACCATCACCGGACACACACAGGTACTCACACACACACACACACACACACACACACACACACTCGTGCCACTACGCCTTCCTCACCCTCTCTGCCATGAAGGACCATCACCGGACACACACAGGTACTCACGCACACACACACACACACACACACACACACACACACACACACACACACTCACACTCACACACTCGTGCCACTACGCCTTCCTCACCCTCTCTGCCATGAAGGACCATCACCGGACACACACAGGTACTCACGCACACACACACACACACACACACACACACACACACACACACACACACACACTCACACACTCGTGCCACTACGCCTTCCTCACCCTCTCTGCCATGAAGGACCATCACCGGACACACACAGGTACTCACGCACACACACACACACTTCTTCTTCTCTTCTCTCTTATGCTGTCCATCGATTTTGAAGATGACGTCACTTCTAGGATGCATTATTGGAGTGTTGGTGCAACCGCTGCTGACGGCGGTGCCATTGAAGGTGACTGTGAAGCCCAATCCGAGAGCCACATGTCCTACTGCAGTAAGGACAAGTGAATACTGAGTCTGGGTGTGAATATAGTTGTGGCTGTGCGCGTTGGAGTCTGCGCTGATGTAGCTCGGTTCTATGTTGAGCGCGCTTTAATTCGATCTGTTGGGCCCCCAGATCACATGCAGAACTCCATGCCTGACGGTTGGCAGCTTTTGTTTCCAGAACTCCAGGGCTGATTCCACAGCTTTTCAGGGTCTCCTTGAGATGATCCTTGTATCGACGCTTCTGACCCCCAGGTCTCCTGTTGGCTGCATGTATCTGTCCATAGAGGACTTGCCGGGGAAGGCGGTGGGAGGGCATGCGGATAACGTGACCAATCCATCGCAGTTGCCGCTTAGCAAGGATTGCCTCCATGCAGCTGGAGTTGGTGCGCTGGCGGATGTCCGTGTGGGAGATTTTGTCTTTCCATGTGACCCCTAGTATACGTTGCAAACATCTGATATGAAAACCCTCAAGACACCGAATATGCCTGCGGTAGGAGTCCATGCTTCAGCACCAAACAGCAGGGTGGAAACGCAGACTGCCTGGTAAACGGCCGCTTTGGTGAAAGTACGGAGATCTTTATTACCAAAGACTCTAGCTCGAAGTCTGCCAAAGGCAGAGGAGGCGAGATTAATGCGTGCCTGGATCTCGCTGTCTATGAGGCAGGTGGGTGTTAGAATGCTTCCAAGGTAGCTGAAGTGCTGAACAACCTTTACTGGTGAACCATGAATATAGAATCCAGGGGGTGTGGGGGTAGGGACCATGGTCTGTACAATGATTTCTGTCTTTTGAATGTTAACTTGTAGGCCACAAGCTTGATAGACTGCGCATACAACATCCAGTGTGTGCTGCATTGCGGTAGGGCTGTGGGCTAGGAGGGCACAGTCATCGGCATATTGCAGTTCATGAATTGAGAGAGTAGTGCACTTGGTGATGGCTTGCAGGCGGCGAAGGTCAAAGAGGTTCCTGTCCAGACGAAACTGCAGGCAAACACCCTCATCGGGGCTGAGGGAACTGCGGGAGAGGAGGGTGACTGCTGCCAGGAAGAGGTTGAAGATCACTGGAGCCAGTACACACCCCTGTTTCACTCCTACCTGCACAGGAAAGGAGGGAGATTGAGATGTACCCATAGTCACACAAGCCTGCATGCCAAAATGAAACTGTTGTAGAATGTACAGAAATCTTGGTGGCACCCCAAACTTCTCCAGAATGACCCAAAGGACTTGACGGTCAATGGTGTCAAAAGCCTTTGCCAGGTCGATGAAGGCAATGAACAGGTCTTTGTTCTGTTCTCTGGCCTTCTCTTGCATTTGGCGCAGGACAAAGATCATGTCGGAGGTGGAGCGATCCTTCCTGAAGCCGCACTGTGACTCAGGAAGGATCCTTTCTGTGATGCTCTTGGTAAGACGGGACAGCATGACCCTCGTTAATACTTTCCCTGCCACAGAGAGCAGGGATATGCCACGACTGTTACCACAGATGGACTTGTCACCTTTTTTCTTGTGAATGGTAACAATTTGTGAGTCTTTCCAGCCTTGAGGAACAGTTTTTTGTGCCCATACTATCTGGATAAGTTGGTGGAGGGTTTTGGTGAGCAGGTACCCGCCTTTCTTTAGAGCTTCTGCAGGGATTCCATCAGGACCAGCAGACTTATTGTCCTTGAGGCTTCGTACTGCTGTGAGGACTTCTGAGAACTCGGGTGGGTCGTCAAGCTCATGTACAAGTGGAAGCATTGGGAGGCGCTGCAGGACAGTGGGGTCAGTCGGATTATTTTGATTGAGAAGGGTGTTAAAATGCTCAGCCCAACGCACAAGAATTTCTTGTTTGTCCCTGTGCAGAATTGTACCATCTGCAGATCTGATAGGGGTGATTCTACGTTTTTGGGGTCCATATAGTGATTTTATTGCATCGTAGAAGGCTTGAGAGTTGTTGGTGTCCGCATAGCCTTGGATTTCATGGGCTTTCCTAAGCCACCAATCATTCTCCATTATGCGAAGCCGGCGTTGCACCTCAGCACGGATATTACTCCAGTGTGAGCGCAAAGAGGGAGATTGTGGATTGGAGAGGTGAGCGGTGAAGGCTTTACGCTTCTCCTCCAGAAGGACCAATATTTCGGGGCAGCTATCGTCAAACCAGTCCTGGTGACGCTTAAAAGTGAAACCAATTGTGTCAGTAGCGGCTTGTTGTATAGCTGAGCTAAAATTAGCCCATACGCTTTCCGCTGTATTGTGTAGGGGATGAGTGAAAACAGAGGAAAGGTTATTAGCCAAGCAGCGACGGTACGTAGCAGTGACGTCAGGGGATTTTAGGGCTCGGAAGTTGAGCCGCCTTGAGGGTTGATGCCTAGTGTGTTGGGGTCGGACTTTTAGGTGTATCTTGGATCTGATCAGCCGATGATCTGTCCAGCACTCCGCACCACGCATTGCTCGGGTAATGGAGATTTCATGTAGATCTTGTTGCCGGGTAATAATGTAGTCGAGTAGGTGCCAGTGTTTGGATCTGGGGTGCATCCATGATGCTTTATATTTGTTTTTCATTTGGAAAATTGTGTTGGTTATGACCAGTTTGTGCTCAGAGCAGAGGGAAAGGAGTCGCAGACCATTCCGGTTTATGTTGCCTAATCCATGTTTCCCAATTACCCCAGACCAGAGCATGTTGTTGGAGCCTACTCTGGCATTGAAGTCTCCCATAAGCACAAGTTTATCAGTGTGAGGAACTTTGAGGAGAGCTGCGTCGAGAGACTCGTAGAAAACGTCTTTGATGCTTTCTTCAGCATCTAGAGTTGGCGCATAAGCACTTAGCAATGTTACATAGCGACCCTTTGCAAGAGGAATGCGCCAAGTCATCAGCCGCTCGCTGATTCCCACAGGAGACTCTGGAATGTTCTGGAGCAGTCTACTCTTGATAGCAAAACCTACTCCATGTAGACGGCGGGTATCTTCTGGAAGACCCTTCCAGAAGAAGGTGTATCCTTGCCCGACTTCTATTAGGGAGTCCTCTCCTGCGAGCCGGGTCTCACTCAAAGCTGCAATGTCAATATTGTACTTGTTAAGCTCGCTCGCAACCAGGGCAGTGCGTCTGCGGGGTCTGTCAGTTCCATTCCTCACATCAAGAAGTGTGCGTACGTTCCATGTAGCCAGGTTTAGTAGTTTAGAATTATATTTATATTTTCGACCGCGTAATGGGATGCCTTGGCGACTGCGGTGGGCCGCCCAGGAGTGTAGGGAACAGGCAATGTTTGGGTCACCTTTTCTAGACCCTCCCCCCGGCAGGGGGTGAGCAGTGCGGACCCTAAAGAGGGCTGCTCAGTCGCACAAAAAGCTGCCGAAGGTGGACGCTGTTCCAACCCGTCCACACAGCGACCATCACGTTTGTGCCGCCTCCGTGCAGGGCTCAGGCTAGAGGCTGCCAGTCTGATCCAAGACCTGCCCCCGTCGCATTTGCCCTGTCGCCGAAGGACTTGTACGGTGAAGTGACAGCATGCGCAAAGAATGGATTTAATGTGAAGAGAGGGGTGCGCAGACCCTATCTCCACAGCTTCACTCCAAAATCCATTTTCCAGTGGCAGGAGATGAACTCTAGACAACCGGATGGATGGTGGAATTGCAGGGGGCTGCCAGGTCTCTGTCCTTGGTTGAGCCTGCCTATCGCGTGTCCCCAACGCGGCCTTGTCTTGAGGAGATGAAATGCTCACGGAAGACAACCCACAGGGCAGTGGGGGCACCAGTCTTAGATAATGGCGGACTGAACTCGCCATGTCGAGGAGTATCATTGGCATAAATGGAGTTTTAACAGTGGATCTAGTGATGCCACTCGACTAGTCCCTCCATACCTGATAGACCTCCGCTGTTGGTCCACGGCTACTTATTCGACTGGGGACCACCGCACGGAGCCCCCAGCTTATTTCGTAGCTTACCTTCATATCTGAAGGGTTGTCCATTATCCGCCACCTATGGACGTGGTTGGTAGCAGTCAGCTCTGCCCCACACACACACACACACACACACACACACACTCACACTCACACACTCGTGCCACTACGCCTTCCTCACCCTCTCTGCCATGAAGGACCATCACCGGACACACACAGGTACTCACACACACACACACACACACACACACACACACACACACACCCATGCCACTACGCCTTCCTCACCCTCTCTGCCATGAAGGACCATCACCGGACACACACAGGTACACACACACACACACACACACACACACACACACTCGTGCCACTACGCCTTCCTCACCCTCTCTGCCATGAAGGACCATCACCGGACACACACAGGTACACACACACACACACACACACACACTCGTGCCACTACGCCTTCCTCACCCTCTCTGCCATGAAGGACC